TTCTGTGTCTGCGTGCCGTCTTAGAAAGCGTTTGCCAACCCAAATAAAATAACTGAATAAGGACAAGTTCTTTAAAGTCTTTACAGGGCCTCACTTGACTTTCTGTTTCGAGAGAAGAGTATGGAATTAGGTTTAGAAGTCATCTTACATGAGAGTTCTTTCTTGTTAAAGACATAACACAATAGTAAGAAATGCACTACAACACAGCTAGGGCAAGAAGGTTCCTGAAGCCCTGAGATTTACCAAACTGTCTCTCTAATTGATTTTGTTCCAATTTCAATCTTACCAAAGTTGACCTCTCAACTTTTAATAAAAAGTCTGAGATACTGCCAAAATCAGCAAGACAAAACCAGGACTTCTCCTTCACAATGGTTTGGGTATTTACTTTACCCAGATTATAGATTCACAAGCAAAATATGTTGGTATCTCTAATTCAGAAAGCCATTGTCCATTTATTTTTTAAAACTATTTTCACTGGTCAATTCAAAGAACAAAACGTAGCTAGCATCCTTCGGGAAGCCACACAATGGAGGCTTTGTACTTGTTCTGTCATCCAGAATGATGTCATCTGGGAGAGGAATCACCTCCATCTGTTCAAATGAGACTGAGCAGTGGTTTCCCAGCCTGTGTGATGGGTGCAACAGGAACAAGAACATTTTAGTGGAAAGATGTTTGAGGTTGATAGCCAAGGTTATGCCATTTGTCTTCACAATGCCTTCAAAGTTTGGATGTTAAACTATGAAGCTGTGTCTTACTTTCTCTGAAACCAAGGAGGTGGGGAGACAGGGAGACAGAGGCAACAGAAACAGAAAGACAGAGACACAGAGAGACACAAAGACAGACACAGAGAGAGACAGAATCAGGCAGAGAGACAGACACCAAGAGAGACAGAATGTTAGTGTGTGTATGTCGAGGCGGGAACCCTGAGCTTATCCTGAGGACACCCTAGGTCGTTCCTGGTTTCAATGCTCAGTTATCACACTGTCCAGACACGTGACTAACTGTACACAATAGCTTTAGTTGGTTTTACCAGAGACTGTATAGAACACTAGGATGAGAAGCAGTTCATGGTCCAGGAGACTCATCTGAATGTCCATCCTCGGATTTCTTCTCACACAGCTCTTTCCCTTGGTCTTCCTTTAAATATCTGCTGGAATCCCTAGCTGCTTCCACTCTTTCCTGGATCTTGACCTTGGAAGAATCTCAAGTCATTCTCAATGTGGCATGCTAAATGATATCTTTTAGATTAATTCACTAAATGAAAGTATCTTTAAATTATTAGCCAAGTTTTTTCCACATATTTTGACATGGTTAAGTATGATATGAACATCTATTTACAAGGAGCTTGAACTAGAGGCTGCTAGGAGAGCTTGACCCTGTAGCACTACATGACCCGGAAGGAATGAGTTCAGAATTATATGCAGCATTAAGGGATGCAGAAGTTGTGATAGGCTGAATAAAGATCCCTCAAAGATGGCCGTGCCCTAATTCTCGGAACCTGTGATTATGTGACTTTTTATGAAGCAAAAGGAATTTTGTAGATGTCATTAAACTGAGCAACTCAAGTTTTGAATTACCCGAGTGGACATAATGAAATCATAAAAATTATTGTAAGATCAGAACTCAAGATGCTAAGTTGTTTGTTAAGGACATGAACCACAAACCAAGGATTGTATGTAGTTTCTAGAAACTAAGAGGCAATTAAATCCATCTCTCTTCTAGCTTCAAAAAAGAGCATTTTGCCTTTTGCCTTATGGCTGCCATCATTATGTGATAATAAATCTGTGTCAACTTGAGAAAATAATTCATAAATGCAACTTTGCTACCGTATTCCTTAAGAATTCTCTCAGCCACTCATGCACCCCCAGGTCTCCTATGGAAAACTATTCTCCTTACTTTCCTCTGTTCTCCTTCCCTTGATCTACATACACTGTCCCTGATGTTTTAACAGCTCCGTTGCATAGTGCCCTCTTCACAAAGAACATCTGGAGTTAGGCACTCCCATCCCACACCTGCCAATGCTAACGTGGCCCTACAGCTCCTCCCCTTCTCACACCTGCACCTTCACCACAGCTGACATTTGGTATTTGTTTTGGATGGTCATGTGGTCATGTTTATCTTCTCATTACTACCAACTTGACAAGTACACAAGCCTGATCTTGCCCACTCTTGTGGACCTGGTGCCTAGTGGCATGCACAAGCAGCTTCTTGGTTGGTTAAGAATCCCCACAATTCTGCAGGTCTCCCGTGGCGGGCTGAGCTGGTCACATGGTGCCGTTCATTTGGAAGCATGAGAAAGGCCACAGATGAGCTTGTGTCCTTGCTTTCCATCTTTACTCGCAGAGAAAGTGAGCCTGTCAGACTTCGCAGTAAGTCACATGCTTCTGAAGTCCTGGGTACAGTCACCACTTCTCTTTCTGAGGGACAACTGATAAAAGTTGTTGTGTGCTGAATGGGTAACAGAGAAAACGGTATGTGGTTTCTAAAATACTCTTTCTGGGTAGCATTTGGGACTCCTTGTTTTTGCCTTATTTCTATTTCCGTTTTAATTTTAGTGCTGGAGAACTAACCATAAAACCATTAAGAAATCTGGAGTTTCTAGAGCAAGGCATTTATAACTTTTATTATTTTGGATTCTCTGATTTTCACAGTCAAAGCTGATGCTATACTGGGGTTCCGTTAGGATGGAGAAGTGGGTAGTGCTTTTGCATAGTCTCATTAAGACCCCAAAGAAGGAAACACACGTGATATGGTTAGTTCCTATCTATATGTGTTTCAGCCTATTTCAGTGCTTTATGTCTTTGTGTACATGCAGAAGAACATGTATGTGAGTGCATGTGCATCTGTATGTACATGTATGAAGAGATCAGAAGTCACCTTGGGGGGTCATTTCTTAAGCACAGTTCACCTTGTCTTATTAAAATGGGGCTCTCACTGTCCTGGTACTCAACAACAAAACTATGTGGGCTGTGGCCCCCTGCAGAGTCAAGTTTTATCTTATTTTCAGCTCTGGGATTACAGCTGTACACTTAACCTTCTCAGAAGTTTTTAAATGTGGGCTCTGGGGGTCAAATTCAGGTTCCAATGATTTCACAGAGAGCACCCTTGCCTACTGAGCTATCTCCCTACCCCTCAGTACTTTTTTTGAAAAATCAATTTTCATGAGTAGTAGAAATATGTACAAATGGCCCTTAAATAGTAGATAATTTCTTCCAATAATTACGCTATATTTTCTACATAATTTGCACATACATGCCACTTTTATTTAAATTGGTTTTAAATTCAAGTATTTTAAAAACTTATCTATTCTTGAGAATTTCACTGGAATATATCCAACACCCTCATTTACTCCATTCATTTATCACCATAGCTCCCCAATAAGTCTCTCCCAAGTTCATTATTTCTTATTATTCTTTTCCTTTCCCCTTCATTCTTCCACTCACTCCTCCTCCTTCTTGGTAACCCACTGGGTCCAATTAGTGCTACCTGTACATGTGTTCCTCCTCATAACAATCTGGGAATAGATTCTAGTCATCTTTCCATAGGAAGGAAATTTGGTTGGAGGGATTTATGTAGAGCAAGTTCTGTAAGGCCCCAGATAGCGCAGTGACAATGGTCTGCTCCCTTGGTCCAGATGGTCACAGTCTCCCTAGACTGCACGGTCACCAGGAGCTTCCAATCGCGTAACTTTTTGAGGGCTCTTTCAAATCACACCAGCTCAGATTTCTCTGGGCCATTAGGCTCCACACTTCAAAATGGAGAACAGGCAAATAAGTAGAGCTGCTATAATTTATTAGCCAGATCCTAGTATGTTCAGAATCCCCCTTTGCACCTCTCAGAATTGTTCATTGTCGTGTGCTATGGGCATGTTTTCTATGGGAAGGTATCAACATGTAACTGTCACAGCAGGCACAGATCGCAAAAGCTAGGAAGGATGTCTAATCAATTCAACTTTGACTTTAGAAAACTTTTGTAAGACTTTAATGAAGACAAATTATTGTGTGAGTTGATTGTCAGCCTCCTGTGTAGATACCTCCCCTTACAAAGTTGATATATCACAGTAGGGTAGGAAGACTGCTCCAAGTTCACCGACGATGAGGTGGAAAAAGCAGCAGGCTTGCCGACATTCACCCCCAGCCTGGTTGGCTCTTCTTCCTTTGACATTAATCAGTCAAGTCAATAAGCTTTGCTGACTGTAGCTCCAATTGTGTCTTTCTGGGTATCTGGCAGATCCAGGATGAATGCTCCGTGAACTGATATTTCAGCAATTAGTATATCTGAAACAAAGAGTGTCTATATGTCTATACCCACAGCAGAGTCTGTCAAATGTTGCTGGAGGCTTTGCTAGACTGTGTTAGGTCTATAGGACCTAACGGCCATCTTGTCTGCTTTCTTTTCCGCTGAATTTGTTTGAATTGCCTTGAAACCAAAACTGCCTACTTGATTCCAGGTTCTGTGCTGAAAAATACCTCATCCCTCTTTCCTTTTTTCCAAAAAGGAAAAAAAAATGCCTTGATGTGATTTGAAAGTTGAAGGGGGGGGGGGGGGATTTCACTGTTGAGACTACATAAAAAAAAACAGCAGAATGCAGCCGAGGGGCTGACAGGCGACACAACATAGCACCTGCTAAGGCGCAGGGAGAAGCCACCTTGAGACTTTAAAACAGCTTCCCCAGAAATAATATCTTTATCCAGATACGTGGTCCCGTATGAATTATACTATTATTTTAGCTGATTTTCCCTGACATCACACTATGATTTTTTTCCATGACAAGAAAATTGCAGCCAACCCTTGACAGTCAATCACAAATTGACTGAACAAAACAAAGTCATACAGTGAAGTAATCCCTAAGCAAATTTAATGAAACCCAATTCCCGAAGGGCTGCGCACTTCTGTAGGCAATGGTCTTATTTAATAAGTTGCCCCTGCTCTCACTTTTAGGACCATATTTACACAGACAAATTCAATTCATTGGGGTTGACTTCTCCTCTGCCCCTCAGTCTGCCCACCAGGCACGTACGGGAAAGACTGTAACCAGATATGCCAGTGTTCAGCAAGGAACGAAGACTGTCATCCAGTCACAGGAAGATGTACTTGTCTGCCTGGCTACCATGGAAACCACTGTCAGTTCCGTAAGTACAGTCTGTGCAGAAGTGGGATTTGCTGAGGAGATAGCAGTAGGACAGACCATCATTCACAGTAAAGGGTGCAGGTGAATGGAAGATTTATCTCTATAACAAATTCTGTGGGATATTTTACTTGAATAGTAGAAAGCATTATCTTCCTGTCTTTCTTTGCCTCCCCCTTCTCCATCTCTCTTTTGGTCTTTCGTGATCATTTTTTTTTTGCCAAACTCTTCACAAGTATCCAATAAGAAAAGAGACAAAGAAAAAAATATCTGAAACTATGTGCGTATCATTATATATCTACCGAGAACAAACAACAACATATTTAAAGAGATTTGAATGTAAGCTGATCCCATGACTGCATCGAAACAAAACTTAAGTGAATTGTTATTCTGTAATGAAAGCAGTGACTTGGTTAAATGATAAAATACCAGTTGCTCCTGGTCCAGTAGTGTGACAGCACCCTCTCTAAACTCAGAACTTTATATTCATTTACTGGAACAATTTAACATCAAAAAATGGTTATAGAAGAAAAAACACACTAAAAAAGTCCCAAGGAGCATGTAAAAATGTTCAATCAACCATTTAATTTTAAGCTTGTAATTATTTATACTGCAGATTTTATAGGTGTAAGAATAAAATGATTTTACCTCAGTGTCATTTGTTCCCCCAAATTGGCCATCACTACTCCTTCCTCTAATCATGCCAGTCATTTTTTTTAATACCATTTTTTTATTTTTTTTCTGATCAACCAAATTTTCTAAAAGCCATAGACAGTAATTTTCAAATATCATTAATACATTTTAAACATTGACAACTAAAGCCACAACTAAACACATATGAAAACTGTTTCAAGTAATACTTTTTAGATCCATAAATAGTACAGTCATTCCAGTTGAAAATGAATAACTAAAACAAAATTTCTCTTAGTTTATGGCTATGATCTATCTCAAGCATCTTGTCCTATGAAGGTATTGTTACATAACTCAGAAGAACTCCTTTCCTGGACTCAAAAATATTATTTGTTAAGAAAATAATATCAGGTTACATACAACTTGCTATGTTTTCATTTCCAAAGATGAGCTACCTTGGGTTAAGGGAGGCAGCCTCACCTTGTTAAAGTGGAGCTGGCTGAGCAGGAGTAGCTCCCTGCCTGTCAAGTGGGCTTAGCTCCAAGCAACACGTGGTTGGAGACGGCTGCAAGGGTTCCTTGGCAGCATCCACTGTAATTACAAGACTGTGAAAAAAGAGTCAAGAAAATAACCATAAAAGGTGTAGCTGGCTCCAAAGTCAAACTTCAGCAGCCAAGAACAACTGGGCTTTCATGTTCTCAAGTTCAGAGGGGAGAATCAAACTTCTCTTTCAGCAGAGGTCAGAGGGAGCAGACAAACACACTGAACATCTCCTAGCTTCTTCCCAGAGCTGCTCCAGGGTGCTCAGTGTGAGCGCGTGGCTCTTACATAGAAGAGCACAAGGGCCCGAGAGTGTGGACTCGTGGTCCTATGAGTTCCATGACCAATGAGAGGTCCTACACTGCTGTAGACCTTGGAAACCTTACACTCCTCTCTCTGCCTGCCATTTAGAATCGCCCTCATTTGAGTTCTCAGTAACTAGTCAGTTTTGTAAAATGGCCCCGTGCTTCAAACAGATGCTTTGGGAAACGTGGTGAGAACAGCTTTGCCAGGTCAGGAGGGTATAAAGGCATTCACAGATGACGTTGCCCATGGTCATAAACATTCATTACGAGAAGATTTTAGTTTCTCCCTTTTCAGAATAAAGCCAAATTGTGCCACAATGCCTTGCCCATATGTGTGTAACCTTTTCAAATACTAGGCAAACGGACAGATTAATGCTAGTCATTTGCTTAGGAACTGTGTGCCTCGAGATACAGACGCAGTCTTGTTTGTCGAAGTGAAATGTCATTCACATGATCACAGTGTGCGGTGGCAAAGGGGCCTGCCACCAAGCCTTCAATATTTAAACAAATGAGAACAGTAAATTCCAAATTGAGTTGTTTTTTTCTTTTTTTATTAGAGTCAAAGAAGGAAAGTTTTCTTGTGGAGGGGGAAAATGGTTTTGTAATGGAAAATAACCCAACAACCCTTGCTAGGGAGACAACATTCCCAGAAGAATGTAGCAAAGGTGGCACCACGCGGAAAACAAAAGGTTAGGAACTAGAGGGGCCTTGTCTTTATTAGGACACACGTGATAAAATGGTTATGTCCACAGTGTGTCTTGTTAAGTTTAGGGACCCTCTGAGATGTGCTCACAGATCAAGAATTCTCACTTGCATGTGCCAAAAAAGTGAACAAGAAAGCAGGATTGTCCACAAAATAATTAATTCTTGGGAAAAAAATCACCACAACTTTTATAAACCACACACCACCCTTGACATGTAGATTTAATGAATCAGTGACCCATAGATTTGTGCATATATTGTCTTTTGATAGATGACATATTCTTTAAATAAGATATAGTGTACTGATTTAAGAAGCATAATTAAACTGAAGGATGAAATAATGTGCTTTTTTTCTATTTATGACAAAAAAAAGAAGCAATAGTTATTTTGCTAAGTACAAGGCAGGGATAAGATGGCTGCAGTGGTATATGTCACGGGTGGAAATGGCTGTCTTATAGCTTCAACTCACTGGGAAAGTACCCTAAAATCTTCACTTTGCATCTCTTAGACACTTAACTCTATGGGACACTCACACTAAGCCATTCTTCCTGGTCAACGGATGCGATGCTTCTTTATATTCAGAATAGTAACCACAGTTATATGTCTATTTTTATAAAATGTCTCTCTTTGTAACATGAAGCTCTTTCCCCTTACTTGCCCAGATCTCTACACCATGATTCACTTTTCAGTTAGGACTCTAGAGACTTCTAGAAGACCTACTGCCTCTTCAGTCTCCTTTGAGGAAGCAGCATGCCTGAGGAGCATGCCTGACCATACTGGCTCTGTCTGTACACCCTCAGTTTCCTTGTGTGTTTTCCTCCAAACATTTCTTCGCATCATGCACTTTTGCAAATCACTGATTTTATAAAACTATGAAAATCACATCCAATGAGACACACCCAGTTAGACATGCAGGAAAATATTCATATCTTAATAAATGGAAGATGAGGGAAAGGATATTGCACTAACTTTATGCTTACCGTTCTCTAATACATTTTAGAGGGGAAGGGGCATCAGGAGCGCTGGGATCCACTAAGACTGCTGTGAACACTGCTGTCCTTTGGAAGGAGGGGACAGCAGAGGGGATCCAGCCCAGGGAGGAGCGGAGCAAAATAGCAGCTCCGACAGAGCAGCAGCCTTCGTGTGCACAGTGCTTCAGTGTTTGCTTTAGTTCCCACCATGTGTGACTTTATTGTTTGTTTGTTTGTTTTAAGCTGGAAGGCAAAAGGAGGAAGATACAGATGCTTTCTAAGTCTGTAGTCAAATCTAAGTCTCCGGGGAACAACTATGGTTTTGGAGGCAGGCTACATACCATACTTGTAAAACGTGTCTTCAATAAAAGGCCCCCCCTCTGACCAATCTCTTACATGGTGTCATCATTATTATTACATTAGGTGTCACCTGCTTTAATTATTTTCTCTTATTGTGATAGATATCCTGACAAAAAACACCTTAGCAGAGGAAAGGATTTATTTTAACTTACAGTTCCAGAAGGGGACAGTTCATCATGGCTCTGAAGGTCTTCAATAGGACCATAAGACCAGCCTGTCAGTAAGCAGAGTAAACACTTTCCATCCACACATGAGCGAGAAAGACAGAGAGGGGGAGAAAGAGAGACAGAGACAGACAGAGACTAGAAATTGAGACCAAGCTACAGGACTTCAGTGCCCAGTCCAGTGATGGACTTCCTCAAGCTAGGCTCTACTTCCTAAAAGTCCCCAAACTTACCAAACAGTACCTGAGAACCAAGTATTCATTCATATACATGAACATATGAGAAACGTTTCTCCTTCAAATCACAGTGCATGCTATTATCTGTGTATGCATTGAGACAAAAATAGAAAATCAAAAACTAGCAAAAAATGAAAAGCATCCTCTCCACTTGGTGCCTTTTGAATTCTTATATTTATTAAACACACCAAGATCCTTTTGGTCAAAATAAAATATATTTAATCAGTAAGGAAGGGATGCATTTGAATTTGCCTAGATTGTAAGAATGCTTCAGAGGGGATGCCAGAGAAGCGCAAAGGAATTCTGATGATTTATCAGGGGACAGCATGTAATATAAAATCTGTCTGTCTGTATATGCATGCATATATATATATATATATATGTATGTGTGTGTGTGTGTGTGTGTGTGTATTAACTATTGTCATGTATCTATTATCCAACATTCTGTCTATCTCTCTGTCTTCCTGTGTATTTAACTATCTATTACCATGTTTGAATCAGTAGTTTGAAGGCAGCCAAAATCACTAGTGATAAATAATTGAAATACTGAGTTAAGAGAGCTTGAACACCTCAATGCTTCAAGTTACAACAACAGGTGAAATCTTGTTCTCCTGTGACAGGGTGCCCAGAAGACACTTATGGTCCAAACTGCCAAGAGACATGCAAGTGCCAGAATGGAGGTCAATGTGAGAGCACACTTGGCACCTGTACCTGTCCTCCTGGCTTCGTTGGAGCAGACTGCAGTCAAAGTAAGTGATTTGTGCCTGGTCTTTCAGTTGGCATCTTTGTGTAGTTTATGTTGGCTTTGAACTTGAGGCCGTCCTACTGCCACACCCTGTACTTATGGGAAAGATAGGACAGCTATTCCAGTGTCCAAAGGGTGCAGCAAAATACCAAAGCATAGTTCTTAAGACAGCAGTTGTGAGAGTAAATGGTGGTGTAAAACTTTACTTGGGGATTTATTATAGGGACAGCAAATACAAGCTGATCTAAATCCTAGGTTGAGGACTAATAACATCAGATTTGGGTTCAGAGTTGAAGTCACCATAACTACCAAAATAAATATTTTTGCAATAAACCTTCCTACCCAAAAACACTGTACTCGAGTCAGGACTCAAAAAAAAAAGTGTTAGGCAAGGCCAGCATAAGAATTTTTGGGTTCATTTTGTCAGTCTTGCCCAAAGTTCCAGAAATTTATCTATACTCAGCAAGTTTATGTCTCAACAATAAATAGTTTCTCTATTCGTCAAAAGGGAAATAGTGCTGTAAGCGCAAATACCTTAACTGTGCATTGTAATACTTACCAGCATCATGTGTAAGGGACAGAAAGTTGAGGATACCTTTAAAATACACGTTCTTGGAGCCTGTGAGTTTGTGCCTAGAAAAACGCATCTCTTCTGTCATCAGACCCGCCATTTCTAAGTAACTGGGTGGTTTCTACTTCCACCAAATAACTAGCCGAACACATGCCCTCTGATGCCTATGGCCCAGGGGTTGATGATTATGTCACCCTGGTGTCTGAGCTCAGGATCACTAATGATCTCAGAAGATAGAGGAGGTGGTGAGGAGAACAGACTGAGAGAGAGAGAGAGAGAGGCTGGAAGCTGGGCTAAAATATCTAGTTTTTAGGCAAAGGACTTGAGATTGGGTTATTCACTTTTGGGTCAGTCATTAAGGCATACTATCATCAGCGATCATTAACTTCACAATTAAAAGAGAGAAGCACCATTAGTATGGATTTAAATTAAAAGTAGATGAACTGTAATAATTTTAGTTCTTGTTCATGTGTGTGCATGCATGTGTACTTTCACATTACATACATAGACAAATACACATATATACACATGCACACATAAATAGAGACATATATACACACATACCATACACAGGCACACAAAAATATATACACAAAAGCATGCACACATACACAGATACCCACATATGCATACATACAGAACACCATACACATATATGCATACACACATGCATACAAAAATAGAAACACATATGCATTCATACATATATGCATATACACATATACATAAGCATATGCACATGCAAACATATATAGGTGCAAATAGACATATGTACATATACACACATTACCACACACTTAGACAGATACATATATTCATACATGTATGTGCACACACACACATACACACTCAGAAACATACATGCAAACATGCCCTTCTTTGAAGGTCTTGCTGGAAGAGGAGTAGCGAAGTTTCTGTTAATTCAGGCCATTAAGCTGGTGTAAGCTGAAGATGCCTTCCTTGCCTGTGCTTCCCAGGCAGCTGGCTGCTGCCTCTGACTTACATAAACACAATGTTCTCTGTTAATTGTCTTGTGACAGCAGCCCCCTTTACTGATCATAAAAATTTAGTAGGACAAAGTCTCAAATCCAAAGAGCTGATGATAGACACCTACTGGATAGAGCCTCTGTTCCCAACTGCCAAGTGATCTTTGAGTGAAAGCCATTCCATAAACACTTCCTGAGGAAGGTTCTGGCTGGCTCTTTTATGTTCATTCTTCAAAGAGAGTAACTGGGAGAAATGTCCCCACGCAAGAGCGTGTTCAAAGGCAATGGTTCCTGAACACTGGGAACATGTTGTCCTAAGAAAGCTGTGATCTTGTAGGAGCCATTTTCCTTGCCTTGAAGGATTGGTAGGTTAGAGCCAAGTGTGCAGCCTGCCTCGGGCAAGGCCAAGTGTTTTTCTTGCTTATCTTCACATTGTTACTATGTAGTCATCTCAGCTGGTTCTTACAGACATTTCTTTTATCTTTATGTGTTATCTTTTTTCAGCATTCATCTCAATTCATTTTTGGAACAATGCAAAATAGATCAGTAAATCCAAAGACATAGATAAATATTTGAAAATATGAGTATTGTAGATCTTACATTGAAGTTAGGAGTATAAAGTAAGATTCCAGAAAGGACTTAAGAGAAAAAATATTCAATACTGCAAAACCTTATGTGTGTACCGAAAGTACAACTACACACATATACACACACATATGCACATGAACACACAACAATACCATACAAATTCATATATACACATACATACTCATACACACAGGCACAGAAATACACACACACACACACACACACACACATATATATATATACTCACATTTTTTTTTCACATACACACACACACACACTCAGACCATGTGTATGTTTGTGTTTGTGATGTGGGTGTGGGCATGCACGCACACATGTACCTGTATTTAAAGTAAGACCGGAAGCTGTTTGTTTTGTTTTGTTTTGTATTTTAATAATTTATCTTTATTTTATGTGCATTGGTGTTTTGCCTGCATCTATATTTGTGTGGGGGTGTCAGATCCTCTGGAACTGGAGTTACAGTTGTAAGCAGCCATGTGGTTAGTGGGAATTGAACTCAGATCCTCTGAAAGAGCAGACAGTGCTCTTAACCACTGAACCATCTCTCCAGCCCAGAAGCTGTTTGCTTTTAATTTGCAATTGAAATCTATCAGATACGAGTTTTGAAACTAGATGCAGGCTTATGTGTTCCACATTCCAGCCGAAACTGTTCTAAGAAAGTGGCAGCTTGGGACTTCTTACTTGTTTTTCTTTTTTTATTTTTAAAGTTTAAAATTAAACTGTAGGGAAGTCAGCAAGATACTGGATTAGCAGAAAGGACCATATATTGACAAGTGTCTAAAAGTCTTTGAGTGACAGATGTTCAATAAGCAAAATAAACCTTGTATGTCTTTATTTTGATCTCCCGTCCAGCTTGTCCTGAAGGTCATTATGGACAGGATTGTGTCCAACGGTGTTTCTGTGGCTCAGGAAAGTGTGACCCAGTAACAGGAAGGTGTCACTGTCCACCCGGCCTGATGGGATCCAGGTGTCAGCAAGGTAACAAAGGCTGCTAAAGATGCACCTCAACAGTCCAGGCAATAAACACGCTGAACTAGGACAACATGGCTGGTGCTCAGACTGTGGCATGATTTGCCATGCTTCCTTTAAAATGGGGCCTTAATCACAGGGCATCATGTTTGCCTGTTGCACTGCGGAGGCAACAGCCTCTTGGAAGGCTACAGAAATTGAAATGAGAATGATTTATGTATACTCTTGGTTATGAGGAGCAATTTAGGCGACAGTGACCACTCTTGGAAAACTTCTAAAGCATGCTGGAGAACGTAAATTACAAGATGAAAGAATTCGACGTGCTCTTCAACCTACAGAGGCCCGTTGTAAGAAAAACAGGAGACAAACATGCAAATATAGTCGACAACTACAGCCTTGCTTCTCTGAAGTCTTAATATTGATTATTATCATAATTAAAATTATAAACATAGAGGAACTGGAGTGCTGGCCATGGCTCTCAGCTGGGACATCTGAGCTCGCAATCTCCTTTGGTGTTCATAGAGGGAGAAAACTGTAATTATGTGTGGGTCAGGCCTGTGTAACAGGCAGGCCGTAGGAACAAACGTAATCTCCCTGGGCATCATATGCTACAGAAATGACATGAAACAAACAAATATAGGATATGTGCAGCTTGGTAGAAACTGGAACAAGCTGGAATCTATAAATGATAGCTAAACAGTTACAAACATTTGCATATGTATACACAAATACACATACAAACACACATACATAGTGTGAACACATACACATATGCAGGTATGGGAGCCCAAATACCATATAAACACACAGACAACACAAATACATACATGCACTTGTACATACTTACACAGATACATATGTACCCATCTACGTACACATGCATTTCCCACAAGGTGTACACATGACCAAGAAAACGTCCAGACTGTTGGTACTAGCTTTTCAACCCTGAAGCCACACTGACCCTAAATAAAATAGCTGGGGAAATAAAATAGCACTATAGAAATAATCCCTGAAAGATCTCCTGAGTAAATTGGGAGCGTGGAGGTCTTGGGTAGAAGAGAAGAGGGGGGAAGGGAAGGGAGCAGAGAAAACCGTACAGCTCAATAAAACCAGTTTTAAAAAACTAGCCAGCACAGTATTACAGTATTCTTGTTTAAGAAAGAGACACGCTGGGAGGGGCCTGGAAAGAGTTGTAGGACAAATATAATATTTTATAAAAAATTAAATAATTTCTCATTCAAAAATTTAAATATCCCCCCAAAAGAAAACAGCTGTTACATAGAGTTAGTTGATGAATACATCCCCAACTTTAGGAACAAAAAAAAATTAGTTGGAGTTCTGTCTGCTTTTCAGTGTGATTCTGCAGGAAGGAAGAGGATGAACCTGAAAGGCAAAACACACGAAACTAGATCATGAAAATTTTACTTTAGAACACAGCAAAGTATTAGCCAGAATTTCTCCCAGCATTCCAAGGGCCTGATGAAAGAGTGTTTGCTAGAAAATGTGGCGATAAGGCAGAGATGCAAGGGTTCATAGAATAAATAACGGAGCAGCACAAGAGAATGGACGGTAAACTGAGCAGCTCAGAAAACAATGAAATCATGCAAACGAAGGCCACATTACCAGCAGGGCCTGAGAGGACAGAGGAGCTCATCTGCGCCTGCGCAGGCGTGGAGCGTGCGATGAAAGGGAGGGAAATAGGAGAGCGGCTTGGAAATAATGGAGGGAGATGTGGAAAAAATGGGAAAGAGAAAAATGCAAATATATGACTCAGAAATGAAAGAAGTTTGACTAAAACCTCCCGTCCTAAGGAGAAGAGGGAAGTCTGAAGCCCCTGTGAGTGTGCCTATCTGGATGGAGTTTTGTGCCTCACAGCAGGGCTCGATGCTAGCGCATGATTAATCAATGTGTATTCATATCTTGGGGAGAAAATGTGATCCAAGTATTTTTATTCACAGTTTTTCAAATATAGCATTGTGGTAAATCAGCAGCTATATTTTTGAAATAAAATGTTCCTGGAAAAATGATGTTTTTAAATTTCTTAAGGAACAGCTAAAAGATAAATCTGAGAAACAAAATAAACAATGAAAGATATAAAAAATATAGTAGCGAGACAATTAATAACATTAAATTCAGTTTAGTTTGTGCCAAGTTTAAAACAGCACAGCCATTATGGTGATGCAGATAGATGTTAGAAATTATGACAATATGGAGATTTCATCAAACATTAATGATCCATAAATTGAAAGAACAAAGTGAAAGAAGGCAAGTCTACTGGCCATCCTTCATGGACGCTTACAGTAGATGGCACCAAATTCTATTAGCACATGTGCTGTGAGCCTGACAACTCAGATATTTTTAAGGGTTTCATTGAAAACTCCAGAATTTTGAATGGTGTAATTGAAAATATAAGACTGTTTTTTTGTTTTGGTTTTGGCTTTTGTTTGTTTTTATTTCTTTTTCAAGGCAAGCTTTCTCTGTATAACTCTGGCTGTTCTAGAACTCACCGTAGACCAGGCTAGCCTTAAACTCACAGAGATCCACCTGCCTCTGCCCCCCGAGTGCTAGGATTAAAGGTGTATGCCACCATTGCCTGGCTCAGGCTAAGTTTCATCCGACTAAAATTGGGAGAAAAGAAAAATAAGATGATCTTGATTACATCACCACCAATACTGGCGTGCCGGCATATTAAAGACAGTTCCATGTTATTTAACAACACATGCCCTTTCTAAACAGTCCCCAGATTATAAGACTCTATTTCTTAGTGATGACACATGCTCACTTCTCTGTAAGGTACGGAAAAAGAAACATGACTCATAAGTGAACCCAAAATCATGGGTTTCACAGAAGTAGAAAATATAATAATTATGAAGGACTGAGGTGGTTATAGCTAGAATGGAAGAAGAAGGGGTTCATATTAGTCACAGGACACAAGCTTACAGGTAGGTGCAAGGACAAATTTCTAGAGGTCCCATACATGGTAGATAAATACACTGATTGATGATAGACACCATTTTTGAGCAACATAAAGAGAGTAGGTGTTATGTGCTTGTGTCAAAATGATGCAGCTAGGGCAGGATTTATTTACATGTTTCAAACATCATGGTTTACACAGTATGTGATGATTTAAATAAGAATTGTCTTCTATAGGCTCTAGGGTTTAGACACTTGGTCTTCAGTAGGCGACATTGTTAGGGGGTGGTTTAGAAACACTGGTCTTATTGAAGGAAGGATGTCGCTGAAGGTAGGCTTTGGGAACTTAAAATCTTGCCCCACTTCCAATTTTATCTCCCAGGCTCCTTCTCCTGCCCCAGTGCACAAGGTTTGCTGACATGCCTCTGTTGCATTCAGCTGGACTCTTCCCTTTGAAACTGTAGGCCAAAATAAACCCTTTTCCATAGGCTGCTTTTGATTATGGTGTTTGATCATCGTAACAGAGAGCTACACAATAACAATTTGCAATTGTAAATTGTACCTATTAATTTAAAAATACTACATAGAGAGGATGATAGATGAATATAGAGGATAGATAGATAGATAGATAGATAGATAGATAGATAGATAGATAGATAGATAGATAGATGCTCTAGACTTCCTTTGAGTCCTTGAACCAATGTAAATACATAGGGATTCCTGCAGATTGCTGGCCAATCTACCCTAACCTCAACCTTCAGGCCAAAAAGAAATCCTATCTTAAGAGATACGGCGTGGTCCTACTGTAGACAGGGTCTGTGTTGATAATGCGTCCATGTTGACCTCCCAAGGTCATTAGGATGTCCACAATCTGTGCTGCAGTCTGAGGCCATGATGACATCAAGGCTGTACTGCCATTGAGAGCCATGCCTGGATCCTGGATCCAAGGTTCTGCTGCAGCTGGGAGCCTTGTCCATGGCCTGGGCTTTCCCCAGAAACCACGCGGAAGCCCAAGATTCATGTTCCCGACGACTGTAAGGAGCAAGGAAACTACCTTTGCAGAAATATCGGCTGCAGACACACAGTTAGAGACAAGGACATGGAAAGCCCATGTGACTCTGCCCCTCCCCCCACCCCAAAATGCAAACTAAAAGTAACAGCCTGGGTGGGAAGCCTTCAAAAGAACTCTTGAAAAGTTGGGATGGGATGTTGAAGTTTAACTCTCTATGACTGATGTCTTCTGGCGGGGACTTTTTAATTTTGTGCTGGGCGGGGGGGTCATGGCGGGTGGGTGTGGACTTGAAAAGACTGGGAGGTGAGTGTGATTAGGGTGTCTTGATGTGAGGTGTCCAGGGGAATAAATAGAAGTGTTTTGTTGAAAAGGGAGATGGGGGGGGAGATGACTCCTGAGGGTCAATACTTGAGTTGACCTCTGCCCCCCCCCACATACACGGAAGCACACAAGAACAACAGCACATATGTGAATACCACACACTGTTATCTGCTCAATAAAATAAAAATTTTCCTTTTAATTTTAGATTTTTTATTCATTTTGCATACCCACAGTTTCCCCTCCCTCCCCTCCTTCCACTCCCCTCACTTCCCCCCAACCTGCCCCCATTTAAAAAAAAAAACCTTCCATTAATTGACCAGCAACAACTGGTCCTTTATCAGATCTACACAGGCAAGGGCCTCCACTGGATTCAGTCACATGTTCTGCCTTACCTTAGCTGAGAGCTCGTGCAGATTGGGCTCTGTGTGTTTGTTTGTTTTTCTCCTTTTAAATGCACCTAAGTGTTTTTATGCTAGCTGGAATTAAAAATCAAAAAATAAGAAAAGATATTCCAATATCTCTCCCGCTATTGCAGTTAAAAGTAGGCTTGGTTAGAGTTTTCAAACTTGAGTCTTGACTTCTGGCCTGAGTGGTTGCTAAGTTTGCCCAAGGCTTTAGTCTCCCAGCTTCAGTGTTTCCAAGAGAAAATTAAGAACACTGTTACCCACATCACAGGGGTGTTTGGGGGCATTAAATGAGATAATCCATGTGTGAAATATCATGATGTAAAAACTCCATAAGCTAGAGGTTATTAATGGTAGGCTCTTGGCCAAATTTAGCCACAAATATGTTTGAATTGGCTCCAGAATATGCCTTCCACGCTGTTATAAAATGATTTTAATTAGTTGCCAACTCTCAAAGATTGGAGAATTTCATGTAATATATGGATAGTGAGTTTTCCTTAAAAGATTGTATTAGATGGCAGTATGAGGCCATATTTTTATGGCAGAACTAACTAAATAAGGGAATCATCCTCATCGTACAGGGGCAGTCATTCACACTGATGGTGCTTCCTGATGTTCCCCTGCATGGATAGGAAGGCCCTTCAGCCCACTTCTCTTCACTCATTGGTGTCTTAACTTCTGTTGGTAGTATGTTTGGGTACTACCCTCCTACCCTGAGCAGTTAAGCACCAGAATATTAAAGAAAGAACTACTCTTCTTTCCTCACTATTGATTTTGAGACGTTGTGTAAACTACACCCCACCATTGGTTGCTTCCTCTATGCCTATGATAGAATAATTTGACAAAAGCAACTTAAAGGAGAAGAGCTTACTTTGGCCCTCAGTTCTGGGGGACAGTCCTCCCTGGAGGGAAAAGCCACACGGCAGGAACTTCATGAAGCTGGTCACAGTGCTCTGCAGTCAAGGGCAGAGAACAGTGGATGTGGCTATTCAGTTTGCTTGCTTCCCATGCAATCCATGATCCAAACCAAGATAATGATAGCACCCTAATCAGTTAGCCTAATCAAGCGAGTCACTGGCACGTACAGAGGCCAACATAAACTAAATAATCCCTCAGGTATGCCTACTAATTTCCAGATCCCCCTGAAGTCAACATTAGCCATCCCACTTCCTGACTCAAATCGCTGCTGACTGTTCCGTAGGCAAACCCTACGTGCCAGTGTCCTAGGCACACAGGACCAGCCCAATATGTTTATGGAGCGACTGTGAACTGAGTGAGCCTGTGGCAGTGCTGCGCTTGTGACATCCAGGGGGCTGTTTTCATCTGAAGATTTTCTGCTGCTTTTCCTGTCTTTGTGTGGAAACTGTCTCAAAAAAAGAAAAGAAAAATCGTTGGCTCGTGACATATTCATTTAACGTAACACTTAAAAATGTTTTCCTTTAGGCTGTCCCCAGACTAACTATGGCACCAACTGTGAGCTCAAATGTATGTGTAGAAATGACGGACTCTGCAATGCTGAGGATGGAAGCTGCACCTGTGGCCTGGGGTGGACCGGGGAGCGCTGTGAGAAAGGCAAGCTGATTCCTCCTTAGCCTCACCAAGTCCACTTTAGGGTTCACTGTTATGGAGTGCCGAGTAGAGGCCCATGAAGCAGCTACTTTCCAATAACCTGTTTATAATTATGATCACATTTTTCATAAAATTGTGTAAGTAGTGATCATTAATCAGTACCTAGATTCTAGACAATTGCAGGAAAACTCTGAAACATCTGAAATTGAAATCTTATTGATGGGAACAAATTCCCCTGAGACCTCAATTCCACTTTTTTCCTAAAGCCCAAAGCCACTGTGGACATCACATTGGCTGCACCTTAAGGTTTTAAGCAAGGCACAGAAGAGACCCACACTCGTGGAGGACTTGACAAATGGTTAGAGGATACTGGCCTCTGGGAGAGAGACGGGTGTGTGTTCCGGGACTCGTGGCTCCTGTCCTTAGTCTCAGCACTGTGGAGACTGAAGGGGAGCTGAAATCCAAGTACAGCCTTGGCTGTGTAGCAAAACATGAAATATGAAATGGCTCTCCCCATTACTGTTCTGCATTCTAGGGTTTTTTTTTGTTCTTATTTATTTGTTCTTCCAAATTAATGTTATAGTCATTCATCTAGGAAAAACTCTTTGGTTGTTCCATTGTACTGTACGTTTTCAGAAAAAAATTGCATTCTGAGGTTAACTCGTTGTATTCAAGAACAAATAATCCATCCTTTATTCCACATTTTATACTCCTTATCAATAAAGACACTGACCTTAGTATTAAGATATTTAAGTTAAGAAGCAAATAATTAATTTTCTTATCCATGAAGTACCCGACGATATTTTAGTGAATTTATTGCAAGGCTTTTTCTTTATCTACATAGTTTATTATATGAGTTCTTTTTAGTCTGATAGCATATGTGATGTGATATTAATGAATTTCTAATAGTAAGTGGCCTTATATTCCAAGAATATAAGGCCACTTACTGTATGATGAATATTAACTATTTTATAAAGTGCTATTGGATTGTATATACTTATACATTCTATGATTTTGGCATTGATATCCAAGAGGAAAATGGAGCTATTTTATATGCAACCTTTTCCAGTTTGTAAAACTGATGTTCCACACATTCAGTGAAAAGCATTTGGAAATTTCCTTCCTCTTTCAACGTTCTGAAATATTCTAAGTCGAGATGGTGCCCTGTCTAGTGAACATTTGTGGATGGCGCCCTGCCTAGTGATCGTTTGTGGTTGGCGCACTGCCTAGTGAACGTTTGTAGAATCCCTGTGAATCTGGAGAGCACTTTCTTTCTCTCTCTCTTTCACTCTTATTCAATGTAAGAACTGTTACTATAATTTCTTATCTAGGTTTTCTGCCTCAAATTAAGATTGTTTGGGTAAGTCATTCCCTATAGCATTACCCATTTCATTTAATTTTGGAATTTTATTTATATTATGATTTTCATATTTGCACATTGGATTGTCATTTTCTTCATCTGTGTCTATGTCTGCTTGTGTGCACAGGGGTGTTTTGCCTGAGTGTGTGTCTGTGTACTGGAGGGAAGAAGAGGGGATTGGATATACTATAACAGGGGTTACACACGTTCTGTGACAATGATGTGCTGTGTGGATGCTGGGATCTACACTTAGGTCTTCTGTAAGAGCAGCAGTGTTGTTAGCCTCTGAGCAACCTCTTTTTTCCCTTTCTTCACCATTTAAGCAATGTAAGGTGCTGTGCTTTGCTCATTTCCGGGTTGTTGGGTTGGGACCCGGCCCCATGTGTGCTAGACACACCCTCTACAGCAATGGCCCTCAACCTCTCCAAAGTTGTGACACTTTAATACAGTTCCTCATGTTATGGTGACCCCATCTATAATTTTTTGTTGCTACTTCATAACTGTAATGTTGCTACTGTTCTGAATTGTAATGTAAATATCTGATATGCAGTATATCTGGTATTGGGAGGTCAAGACCCAGGGATTGAGAATTACTGTTTGCCCCATACCCAGTCTGTGAGTTCACCATTTTAATTTGATTAGTTAGTGGTTTATCTGTACTCACGTCTTCGTTAATGACAGTTTTTTCATCTTTGAACTTACTAATTTTTAACTGTCCTTTGACAAATCCTAATAGTTTGATGTTTTCTTTCTCAGCATGTTCTCCTGGTAACTATGGCCCAGACTGCAAGTTTAATTGCTCATGTCAGAATGGTGGTGTTTGTAGCAGGCTGTCTGGGGCCTGTGAGTGCCCCGAAGGGTTCTACGGACGAGGCTGTGAACATGGTAAACAGCAGAAGCTACCATATGTTCTCTGTGTGGAGGTTCTAACCTCCAAAATGATTTTAAATCATAGAGAGAATATATTCATATTATATAAAATTACACAAACTTTTAGTGTATGTTACTGTAAACTGATTAAGTTTCACAGCTCAAATTAAAATTTCAGACTTTAACAAGTACCATGAAGAAAAAAATTGGGCTTTAAAATTCTTTAGGGTTTTCTGCCAATAATGGATTTAACAATCCATTGTTACTTGGAGGTACTCTCGGCAGACAGACACCCCATGAACCAGCTGTGAGTTTGTCTAAACAGGGATGCTCTTTACCCAGCTGCCTTTGGGCAGCAATGGATGGAAATCCTGCTTATATTCCATGTTATTTGTTTAAGGAATTTAATTCAATATTAGTGTCACTCTATTTAACCTGAACCAGAAGTTTAGGGTTAGGTTTTAGATGCTTTAATTTCTCTTGTGTTTGTATGATAGAGTAATGAGTGGAGAAAGAGCTTGCCTTGGCTCATAGTGCCATAAAGATGCCATCTATTCCAACAAGGAGGATTTAGATTAGGAATCAAGGAGGTGGAGACTGGCTGGTTATGTTGTATCTACACTCAGGAAGCAGAGAGCCAGCAGAAAGGGAGCCAGGCATGATGCCAGTATCCCTCCTCCCTCCGGTAGATTCCACCTCCTAAAGATTCCACAAATTTCCCAAACAGTACGACCAGGTAGTGAGTCTATGGTGCATCATGTGCGCCCATGGGGACATTTCACCTCTAAACGACAACAGGACGGTTGTAGTGCTCTTTGGTCAACTACAGTAAGCAAAGCAAACTGACATTATTAAGATATTTCAGATCTTCTCATGGGCTTTACTAGGTTTAGACATAATATCAACCCGTTTTTTCATGATTAATCTCTCCTGTGATTCCCCATACATCTAATTCTTCCCTTTTACATCATTTTTAGGCTTGATAAACACATGAACAAGATTATATCCTTTAGTCCTTTCTTCCATTTTGTTTCTAAGCTAAAGATTACATTTTGACATTTCTGTCTTCCAGAATGCCCTCCTGGATTTCATGGTTTTAATTGTGCTCACACCTGTGACTGCCAGAATGGAGCCAGCTGTGATGTAGGAAGTGGACAGTGTGTTTGCCCAGCAGGTTTCCATGGCAACCATTGTGAGCAAGGTATGGCAAGTGTGTTTGAAAGCACATGTCTGCGAGAGTTCCCTGTGAGCATGGGGTCTTCTGATTTATTCATGAGCATGAAAACCTAAGTTAAAACTGGCCACTTATGTTTTCGATTTATAATTACACTATAAAAAAATATACAGCAGCCAGTATAATCAGATTCCTCTTTTGTTCAAAATACTGTTCTCTCATGTAATATCACAAAATGAAAGCTGAAAGTCATTATAGGCAAGGATAATACCTCTGAATAAGATTCAATATTTCATGTAACGCTTGGTAAAGCAATCTGACATACCTGCCTGGCCTTGTGGTGTTGAGACAGAGCAGAGGAGTTGTGGAAATATTTAAAGATGAAAATTAAGCATTTATCACAAAGTAACCACAGTTATAAATGTGTATGAAATATGAAGTAATAAAGGCTAATCACCTTGAAATAAAATACCAAAAAGTCTTAAAAGATTCTGTCAATTAAAATGTTTTCAGACACCTGAGAGTATCACTGTGGTCACAGCAGATACAGACTTCTGTATAAAGTTATAGTGATGATGATGATGATGATGATGATGATGAAGATGATAGATAATATTATAGGGATCATAATTTAATTCTATATGGTGAATCAGAATTCCTGCCTATAAACATTTCAAATAGTCCATCTATATTTTAAAACATCACCATAGCTTTATATCTATTATTGTTTGTTCATTTTTTATTCATTTAACATTTAGTAGTTCAATAAGATGGAAACTATTATCTGCATATTTCTGTGTTAAAGTCTGGAAATACAGTAAAAAATATGGAGCATACATCATTCTTTAGAGATGAACTGTACATTATGTGTTAATAGAAATAGTAAGAGTTGTACACATGGTCTGATTTCTTAAGATTTTTTAGAGAAGTTTACTCACATTCTAGAACACTATGAACCAGTGTCAAAGTAAATAAACTTTGAGAACTGGTTGTTAAATCAGTCAGACAATGGATCTTACCTCTGAGAATTCCCAACATGTCCTCTCCTGAACAGCAAAACCCCACTTGGTCTCCTTTGCCATCTACTATTGAATCTTATGAGCATCTGTTTAATATGAATTTGCATATTCTCTCAGATGTTCAGCCACAAAAATGTTGATCTTTTTCAAACCTGAAGGTAAGACAGAGTATTCTGGACTTGCTAAGATAACTCCTTTTTCCACTTAGGAGAGTATAGGAAGAAAATTTTCCATGTGATAATTCAAGGGTTAATATTTCAGCATGTCTCTATCTTCTGTAGAATGTCCTCCCGGAACATTTGGGGACAATTGCCAACAATCTTGTGACTGTGAAGGAGAAAGTTCTTGCCACCCAGCCACAGGAAAATGCCTCTGCCCACCAGGGAGGGCAGGAACCAGATGTGAAACAGGTATGACCAACAAGCAAAATTCCAGAGGAACACAGGGATCCACAGACGCCTTGATCTGGAAATGACACTCTATAAAAGAGAATTGCCCAGCAACGCTTCCTAGTGTCTTCAGTTTGAGCAATCACCATTTGAAACTGTTGCATCATAGGCCCTCCACACCAATACCTTGCTTACCACAATTCTTTGCAGAGACACGCTGAATAGATGGTGATTCTGAAAACCCACTAGAACAAAAAGTAGACTATCTAGGTAGCATTCTCGAGATTCAAGAACCCATATTGTCTTTGGGAATTGATATTCATACTTTGTTTTCTTTCCCACCCACAGAAAGAATGACCTAGAATGTAAGGTTATGGTAATTTAGCAACTGCCAAAACAAGTGGGGAGAGTGGATAGAGTCGATTGATGACAAATCCCCTGCAGTGCGACTCGATGGATGGTTTTAGATCAAAAGGTTTTATATAATTCACCTCAGACCCAAGACACTGAGCCACCTCAGATAAGACCCCACGTAGAATGTTTAATCTCAGAATTTACTTTGCTTATCTTCAAAAGAACCAGGCTAAGGTTACATATTGTTAAGGTCCATTTCTGCACTTGTCAGCTATGAGCTTGTGGCCTCTATAATGGCGAGAGAGCCATGCTAGCCTCCCTGGCTTCAAAAGATTTCTATTCACCCAGCATCATTTTACATCCCAGCTCTCTCCTGAGCAATATCAATAGCAGCTGCTTTCCTGAAGTGAAGGCAGCGTTCTAAAAGCATTGCCTTTGCTTAATGCATCCCACTACCTCAAGACGTTGTCTATGTTCCTATTTCTATTGAATAAATTGGGATACTGAGGACCTAAGTTAGTAGACAATAGAATGTGTGTGTGTTGGGGGGGGTGTGCTTAGAATGGGTTCTGGCACATAGTAGATTTTCCAACAAGCATTTGTTGAAAGAATTTTTGCTTTGTTGGAGACATGGTAGATGGAAGTTGCTGCACTCTGTCATATCTGAAATTATTCTGTCAGAACAAATATCTATGATACATATGCCATCCACAGGAAAGGTCATGAAAATGACACACCTACAGCATTTGTGACCCCCCTGCACATTGAGGAAAACCACTAGTGGTCACTGAGTGTCCATTGTGTGCTCTACATAGATTCCCTTACTGCCCTCACCCTTCTCCTATGACAGAGCAGGAAGAAGACATCCCCAGAAAGTCATAAAGTTCAGTTATTTCCCTGTGTTACACAACAAGTAAATGGCGGATTTGAGATTTCAAGGAGGATGTCTGGGTTCGGAGACAAAGTGTTCCATATGAGTGCCTTCTTTTGTGAAAATTTTATATTGCACCTCTCTTGATGAAAGGCTTTGAGGCATTGATGCTGCTTGTCTGGCTGTCTGCACGTGAGACAGAGTCGTGAACTTCATGCCACTGCTTAATTAACTTAAAATCCACCTGTTCCAACACACAGGAATCCTTTTCATCCTTGGCGTCCACTGATAGTTATTGACTGCCATATTGGATAGTAGAACATAAAAAAATGTCCAGCATTGCAGAAGGTTCTAATAGATGGCGCTTGTAAGAGATGGGCTCTGTGAATAAAAGCGTCTGAACCACATCCTGACAGTCTAAGACCTATTGCTGGTTGCAGGTAAAAAGACAGACACCAAGGGTGCACTCTTGTAAGGAACAGAAGGCAGAGACAGGAGAACCAGTCCAAAGTTTGTGTGCCAGCTGACCTGACAAGAGACTTTCTGCTTCAGAAACAAGTGGAAAGGCAAGGACTAATTCGTCAGACTCGTCCTCGGATCCCCCACATCCTGTGGGGCACACAGTACTCACACCCACACCTATGCACTCAGTGAATGATAGCAATGTCAGGGCAAACAGGATGGCTTGGTGGGTAAGGGCACATGCTATTAATCCTGACAGCCTGGGCCTGATTCCTAGTCCTACATAGTAGACAGTGGGAACTGACTCTGGGAAATCATCCTCTGATCTTAAAACATTTGTCTTCCATCCCCCAACACACACATACACATATATATGTGCATGCACACATACACACATATACACACATATACACTCTACACACATACACACACATACACACATACACACTCACATACACACGCACACACACATACACACATGCATACACACACATATACATACACTTACACATACATACACACACATACACACATGCACACACATGCACACACACACATATACACACACTTAGACACACATACACACACTTAGACACACATACACACACACGTACACATACACACACACAAGGCAGGGAGAATAAATCAAATAAAACCATGATTTAAAAATTAGAAATATGAAAAATTAGAAATATAAAATAACACTAGGCATCAAGCATGGCGACATATGGAAGTTAGGACAAGGTAAGGGCTCGCACACTCTGTGTGCCCTACGTGCTGTGTTCCAGAGTTCCTTCCTATGTGTGTGAAAATTACAAAATGGCATGACTCCGATGTGGTAACTGTTCTCCACGGAACCTTGAGAGCCCTCTTGTCGGGGACTCTCGAGGCCTGGGCCTGTATAGATGTACGACAAGGTCTTTTCGTTGCACTTTTATGCTCAATTAGTTACAGTTCATCTGCAATAGTAACTGTGAGCAGCTGTGTCCATGCAGTCTCCATAAAGATAAAAGGCCTCATTTTAACTTAACTCTGGTAAAGGACCTATTAAACAGCCATAATATTAATTCATAAAAGAATGTAGCAACTTTTTATTGGATCATTCGCCCCTCCCCTTGGTAAATTGACATTTGCAGACATTCAAACAGATGTCTTAAATACACATGGTTATTAACATGGAAATGTGGTATTTTTATAAATTAAAATCAGATTCTCCGCTGCTCAGGAGAAATCCTGACTAATAACTCTTTAGAACAGAAGAAAAAATGTGGTCTTACCACTAAACTACAAGGTCTTGCAAGGCTCTCGGCAGAGCTCAGGCGTTGAGCTCACTTTGGAATGATGTTTTTTTTTTCTTTAACTTTCCACAAAGTCTAAAATTTAGAGGACAGATTCATCTTTATTTTTATTGAATTTATTTGTCGTTTGTATATGCATGCATGAGCATTGTGGCAATATGGTGGGTATGCACACTGAGGTCAAAGGACAACTTGAGGGAGTCCTGGGGTTTGAACTGGCGTAACCAGACTTGCTAACAGGAACCTTGAAGCCCTGAGCCATCTCGCTGGCCCCAAATGCATTTGTGAGTGGCATCCACATTGCTGGTCCAGTGTCTCCCTGAAGGACACTTGGCTCTTCTGCTTAATGCTGAGCCATCAAGAAGATACTTCACTGAAGCTTTGGTTTATATTTCTCCTTCATATTTAAAATATAATTGAGCAAGACAATAAAGCTACTGGGCTTTTTAACCTGCCTTCATAGTGCAAGTCAAAAACAAAACCAATAGTAGTGAAAATGCCCATGAAGAACTTGTGAAGGGACCTGGAGATGGTTTAGGAAGCAAGCAAATGCACTTGACGCCCAAGCCTGAGTATCTGAGTTCGATTCCCAGAACCGATTCATAGTGGAAGTGTGACCAGAAAGTGGCTGACTGCCATAGTTTGACTGTGGCACATGAACCACATTTATACACACAATAAGAAATAAAATAAGATCAATAATTTATGAGGGACCCATCTTTAATCTATCATGGGGCATATTGGAGCAATAAAGACGTATTAATGAAAAATGTCTCCAAGGGCTCTAGTACCACATTCTCCCTAGAATCACATCTTTGTTTTTATGTTGGGCTTTTCCAAGTTTTCTCACTTTCCAGCCTTAACTCTTTAGTTAAGCTTCTGAATATGCTGAATGTTTGTGCTTTCACATAGTTAGGCAAAGGAGAAAAGACCCTTCGGTAGGTATTCAGAAACTCAGCCCCGCACTCTGCAGGAGTATGAGGTAGACAGAGGCTGTCGTGGACCACACCAAACCCATCCATTTCTCTACAGAGCGGGAGGGCTTCCTCACGGTCTTGCCCACCTTGCAGACATTTGCTGGAAGTCATTTGCTAACAACCCACTTAGAAATTGTTTCTTTTCTATTTTGACATTATAATGTAATTACATCATTTCCCCGTTCACCTTCCTCCCTCCAATCCTTCCCATATATCACACCTTGTTCCCTTTCAAATTCTCACTTTTTACTCTGAAGGCTGGGGCAGAGGTGGGGGAGGGGCGCTGTTACAATAACAGAGTTGGGTTCTCTAGCTCTTGAATACTTGTTAAGTTGCTTCCTGTTCTGGAAAGCATGAATCTACTTCCCTTCCTGGGCTGTGTATACTTTCTTCTTATCCTCAGTCCTGCAGAAAATGAATGTGTTTATTCTCTGCTAATTCTCTCCTGGACCACAGACTAAGTGCCCAAATATCGGCTTGCCCCCTTCAAGTCCTCTCTTTTAAATAGCTCTACTCACACCCAGCCCTCCAGTCCCTCCCCTTAACTGCCCTTCTCTTGGTGGCTGCAATACAATTCAACTTTGAGCCCTTTTAGTGCGTTCACAACACCAGGCACATTGGGATTCGACGGCCCTTTTGACATATTTTAAGAGACAAGAGTCGAGTATAAAGCTATTTCGCTTTCAACAACCCAAGCACACAAAATCATGCTTTTAACCTAAAGTAAAACCTCCCGCATTGTGCATTCGGAGAGAGCGCTGACTTTTTCTGACCCCAGGCAGCTAATCCATTTCCGTGTCCCACACAGTGCAACGGCTATAAATGTTATGGAGTAATCAGTTTCTGAGAAGGCTCTTTAGAAATAGAAGTTGTTGTCCTCACTCTCCCTGTGTCCAATTTTTCTCAATAACTTCTTCCTCACACCCACCCTCCTGTTTGCCACCCAGGGACTCTCGCGTTTATGACGTAACATGCTAGCACAAGGGAAAGGTACCACAGAGGAAAACAGAATTTTTTTCTCCCAGACTCTCATTATCTCGTTCATTTCCAGAAAGTAATTGTGTAGTTGAAAGCATGTCTGAGTTGTTTCGGTTTTTCCTTCTTCCCCCGCAGAATGCCAGGCAGGCCACTATGGACCCGACTGCAGGCTGCGGTGTGAATGCTCGCACGGAGCTCGCTGCAACCCAGTCAATGGCGGCTGTGCCTGTCCCAGGAGGAGAATGGGCCCAACCTGTGAGGAGACTGACTCGCCTCCTCCACAGCCAAAGACCCACAGCTCTTCCGAAGGTGAATAGAATCTCTTTTGCAGTGCCTCACGATTTTTCATCGTAACAGGAAAACACACAGTCCCTGGCCTCCTTCCCGACGTGGAGCATCAGGAAGTGAAAAGGTGCCACCTCCAGTTTGCCACCTCTGTGCTCAGTTCTCCAGCCCAACCTGCGAACTTTTTTTTCCCTGAAGGACACACTCCAAAAAGAGAAAGGGAAAGGAAAAGGAAAAAAAGTATTTGTTCAGGATCCGAACCACAGTAACATTTGAACTAATAAAGGATGCTTTTTAGAAAATTTGTGCCGGCAGTATTTGAATTGGGAAGGGAAAACTGCTTCGCAGTGCAGGTTGGGCTGCCCTGAAATATTCACACCTATTCACTGAAAACCCCAGTGCCTTAAGTAGCTGGATCCTTTAGAAAGGGCTAGAATTCCATCCATTTGCTTGCAGAACCTACTTCCCGGTAACTCTGCTGCAGACTTCAAACACACTGCATTTTGTACATGACTTTTAATGTGGGGGATTATTAAGATTTTAGCCCATGGAGGTGGGGAGCAGAATAAAAACATGACACGCATATGAACAGTGAGTCATGAAAATGTTTAGTGATGTTTTCCGTCTCCAGCCAGCACACAGGGAAAACAAGGGCAGAGCTGATGGGGCCAAGACCTGACTGCCTCTGGGGATGCTCCGTTTCCCGTAATTCAGGAATAAATTGAATAGCCTTAAAATCCAAATTACTCATCATTTCCAGCAGCTCCCAGTCTTTTATGAGTGGAAGATAGATAGGCATTTTTCAGAATCCTGGCTAATCATATTAGTAAGTAATAACTTTGTCGACTGAAAATGCTGCTCAAGAATTTTCAGGATAAAAACAGAGACTTTGACTATTGAAATTATATGACTAGAGTTTATTTTTGTGGAATGACTAGAGTACCTTTGAAAATTCAAAACTGATTTTGGATAAAATTGCTGGAAAGATCTATGAAGAATGCTTGCTGTTGTCAATTCAGCGGCGTCGTTGGTTTGCGTGCACCCTTGACTCCTGCAGCTGTTTTTGTGTCGTTCTGGGGCGGAAAGGCAGAGCCTCTTCCATACCAAGCATGCGCTTTGCTGCTGAGCGGCTGCCTTCACCCTTTCTCAGCACATCAAAACATGTGTAACATGCCTGCTGAAGGAAGATGTGGCAAACTAAAGGTTACTAGATGATATACAGGCTTTGATGAGCTCATTCTCTATCAGTTTAATCTCACCCTGAAAGAGGCATGTTCAACTTATTTTCTGTTTTCTCCATATTAGCAATTTAAGTTGTATATTTTCAAGCATTGAGCTACTTTGGTCAGCAGTAATGCTACAGCTAACGGTTCAGATTAGCTGAAAGGCGGGCTCTATTCTGAACACTTTGCCCATTTCCTTACCAGGGGTTTTCAAGTCTCTCTGAAATGTTACCTTTGTAATCCTCAGAGCAATCAGCATAAAAGGCAGTAGGAGGGTTGGGGGATGGCTGAGCATTAGCATTTGGGAGAGTATGGGTCCTTCAACATGGCTTAAATATGGCTCTGTGGTGCACTGGATAACACATTGGACTTCTACTAACAAAAACCCAGTTAAAAGCCAGCTGAGCACAGCAGCTATGTGCAGTACTGGGTTAGCATCCCTCTCTTGCTCTGGACTCCTACTTCACCATTTGCTAAAGACTGCGGCTGTAACGGGAGGAGCACAGAATTGCATTTCCTGTCCTCACTTGAGGTTTTCTCTCCATTGAGAGAGAAGACAGACTCTGGATTTAACGAGGAAAAGCAATGAAATTTCTTTCTGCCTGTATTTGCTTTTGATACATAATACCCGTGTCTTTGCAAATGAGAAGCTGTTAGTAAAATGTTAAGCACAATTCTGGGAAAACGTCAGATGGTTCATATATTATCTCCTTCCACACCATTCCACCTCAAACACCAAGTAAATAAATGGAAAAGATTACGAGAGAAATGAAAGTTATAGCATGAATTGGCATGATTCGTTGTTGTTGTTGCTGCTGCTGCTGCTGCTGCTGCTGCTGCTGCTGCTGCTGCTGCTGTTTTGAGACAGGGTCTCACTATGCAGCTCTGACTTTCCTGGACCTCACTATGTAGAGCAGGTGTTTTCTGCCCCTTGAGTGCTGGAACTAAACACAAGTGCCACCACATCCAGATTGCGTGACGCTGTAGACAAACTAAGTTCCACCTTCTTTCCTGCACAAGCAAGCACTTAGGCAAAACACCATAGATCCCCTTCTTGGTAAAAATTTGCATGGTTCATCTTTCACATTAAAAATGAAACCAGAAAAAATTTGAAATCAAAATATTTCCGGTGTACTTTTGAAAAAAAAATCTTTGGTTTTTCATTAGTCAGCTTTATAGCAATACTAAGCAAATACTATAAATCTATAAATCTCTAGCAAATACTAAGACTATCAACTTAAGAGGAAAACAATGTTTAATTTGTTTGCTTAGTTTTCACTGCTGCGATTCTTCGGATCTGTTGCCGTCAGGTCTCTAATGGGGGGTTATTTATTACTGAGGAGCACACACAATTGCAGATTTGTGCATGGCATCTGCTTATTTGTGGTCAGGATGGGAAAGTGAGGGAATGGAAGCCTTGAGGTGCTTTCACTTTCTTCAGCAGGGCCACACCAATGACCTGAAGACTGTTTATAGGCCTCGCATATTAAACCTTCATCGCCTTCAGGTAGTACCATCATGGCATTGAGGTCTTACCATGGTCAGCTCTGAGGCCTACTTGGGGTGAAACTCTGCAAATGAGGAGACGGTCGCTCACGTCATCTCTCCTAAACAACACATGCTTCTGTTGGAGGATACCATTAACACCAAATTAACATTTAACAAACAAATTAAACATTTTCTTTTAAGTTGATAGTTTTAGTATTGGCTATAGTAATCAAAAGATGACTAATAAAATTCCAAAGAAACTGTTTTTTCAAGGTGACCAGAAGTGCACTGGAAATTTGATTTCAAACATTTTTTTTTGTTTTGTTTTTTAATGGGAAAGAGGTAAGAGGTAACTGGTAAGTTTTACAAAGAAGGGAAGCTATGGTGATTTGCATAAGTTCTTGCTGACTGGTATAATTAAGGAAAATTATTAAGAGCAAGATATCACAGGTGAACTAACAAGCAATCAGTGTTAATCTGAAGAATAGTCACAGTACAAAGTGTCCAAAATCTAATTTTCCTGCAGATGACTTTAAGAGAATCAAACAATGTTCTTAAATGACAGCCACTTTTAAAAATATATCCTTTAAGACAGAAGTCTATTGAAATTCCATGTTTCTGAACAAAAAAAGTATACCATTCAGTATTGCACAGTAAGGATTTACCGAGGTTTCTCCACATAAAGAGCTGTGCAAGGGGCCGGAGAGGTGGTTCAAGGACTAACAGAGCATGCCGCTGCGAGGATTGTAGTGCCCAGGTGGGGTGGCAAAGACTGCCTATCATTCTGGTGCAGGAGATCTGAATCCCCTGGCATCTGCCAGCATCCACACTCATGTGCACACACCTTCCCCTGACATATGCACATGCACATATTTTAAAATCACTTCAATCCTTTAAACAATCTACACAGTTCCAGGGAACTGCGATTTGACTACCACGTTGTAGTTTCTACAACGCTATAAAGAGTCTAGCTATTGTTCAAAATGGCCTATAATTTAATAGACACACCCTCCTCAAGCCAAAGTTCGATGTAAAATTAGAATCCTTGTCGTTGGGATAATATGTATTCCTACTCCTGTTTCTCTTCACTGTATAACCTGTCCTTTGAATGCAGAAATTTTGATCCTTGAAGGCAATATATCCACTCATAATATTTAACCTCTTTACAGAAGTGCCTATACGGCAAAGTCTCAGGCTTCCCATTTGAAACACAAGATCAGAGTGGGGATTATTATGCTTTTCTACAATAATATAGCTCTCGTTTCAAGAGAAGAGGGCAGAGGCATGGACATGTGGTCGCTAATTTAAGTCTACATCGGCATGCCTGTGTTATACCATTTCAGCATAGCACCTAACTTTCCCTGCATTCTCTGACTTTTACATTCATTTACTGCATTTTTCAGAAGAGGCAGCCTTTTGACACGGGTTAAATTATTTTTAGAGAACTTGGAAATCATTCCAAAACTTAGTGGCAGGAAGGCATTTCCTTTGTTAGAAACAGGAAGGAGGTTTGGCCTCTTCTGGGCCTCCTTCGCCTCGGTTTCTTCAGGACGCAGTAATACAGATGCAGTGAGAATTTAAAAGAGCATTTTGATGAAGTGAGCAAATAGTAGCAAGTATCTACACCCTAGAAGTCGTGTTTGCAATCCAGTTGAAATAACATTTCATGGCTCTGTAATAGGAAAAGGAAAAAAAAGAGTATAGCTGAGCTTTTAAAATAGTTTTCAAAGAGATTCTAAAATTTGCCCCTTTTAGCTAATCATGTGGAAACTGTATTCAGCTCTCCTCTTGAAATTCCAGTGTTTCTAAGTAAAGAGATTCCAAGACAAATAACGAAAGTCTAAACTACATGCTTGAAAGGGACAGACACCTTCTCTTTTTCTAAATTAGTTTTACTTTTGTTTATGTGTGCATAGATGGATGTGAATGTGCCCGTGGATGTAGATGCCCCAGGAGGATAGAGACATTGGGTATACGTTGAGCTAGAGTTACAGGTAGTTGATGTCTGCCTGATGGGGGTGCTGGAAACCTAACTGAGACCTTCTGGAAGAACAGTAAACACTCAACCACTGGGTCTTCTCTCCAGTTCTAACACACCTCTTTTACTTGGGGTGGGGGGAGGAATTCAACTTGAAGATCTGACAAGCAAAGCTGCCAAACCACTAAAGAAATCTGTAGACTGAAAAGGAGGGAATTCCTGTCTCATCCTGCTTTATATTTCTTTCTAGTGCTGGGCTTAAAGGTGTGTGCCACCACTGCCTGCCCTGTATTGGCTGACTAGTGTGGCTGCTGGGATTAAAGGTGTGTGCCACCACTGCCTGCCCTGTATGGTTGACTGGAACACACCTCTTCTTACACTCTTCCAAATATCGACCATATTCTTTCATTACCAAATTTTACATTATTAGTTAATGAAATATTTAACCATTTCATGTTTTAATGTTGTGTACGAGTGCTTAAAAATACTTTTCACATTTAAATAAATGCATATAACTCTTCACACCCTCAAGTGTTAGTCCTCCAATGTGATGGCAACTTGGGAAGCCTCGGCAAAGAATGAGAGCAGAGAACATTGCTGCATCCTAACAATAGCACTGCCATTTCCAGCATTCAGTACCTATGCCTTCTCTTTTGGTGGGTGTAAGTGCTCCCCGTGAGTGAGAGGGGATTGGGGTTACTGTGTTTGCCTCCTTTTCACCTCCCCACTCCTGCTGTGTCAAATTCAGAGCCATCTTTTCTGTATTTACTTACTAATCAGACCAGTTAGTATTGATCACTTAGAATTGGGGTCTTGTCTCTAGAAAGAAACAAAAACCCAATTTGGCTCGCCCTGCCTCACTAGCCTGACCCCTGTAGCTTCACTTCTAGGGGCGAGACACTGTGAAATTCTCTTCCATCCATGTTGGAATGTAGACGGGTGTGATTTTTGTAGGTCTTTTGCAGGCAGTCATACTGTTGAAGATTCACAGGAACAAACCTTTGTCCTGCCCAGTGACAGTGGTTCAAGTGTGGGGGCGCTTACAATCTTCCTGCTCCTTCTTCTGCCTTCTGAGCTCTAGGTGTAGAAAATGTGATTGTAATCATTTCTAAATATCTGGTTTTATTTTAAGGTAAGAAATTCTCAAAAATACCCAAAAAATAAAACAGATTGCTTTTAAACATGACACTAAGATCCTTCTGCTATCTGAGTGCTAAGGACACTGAGACAGGAATGCCATGATCATGATGCTAGTTTGAAATACACACAGGCACTGATTCACAGAGAGAGACAGAGACAGAGGGATGGAGGGAGTAAATCCAAGAGGGTTTTACCTATTTAGTAAATGAAGGTAAATTTTGACTGAGGCCTCAGAACACTGTTAACCTGGATACCCTGCTTACATTTAAAAATGTATTTATACTTATTTTATGTGTTGTGGGTATTTCATTTTCATGCGTATCTGTGGACCACTTGTAAGAAATGCCTATGGAGGGCAGAAAAGGGGGCTACATTCCCTGGAACTGGGGTTACAGACAGTTGTCAGCTGCCCTCCGAGTGCTGGGAATCAAACCTGGGACCCTGCAAGGGCAAATGCACTCTTAACCACTGAGCCATCTCGCTGGTCCCTGTTAAGATGTTTCTAGTGTTGCAGTAACTGCCTGAGTCAGCTATAAGGGGCACCCACAAAGTTCCCCATCAGTCCTGAAACCCAGCAAGAGCTTCTCAAAGCAAGACTTTATAAATACAAAACAAACTGGTGAGACAGATTTTTATAAAGGTTTGCCTGTCTTGTTTTTCTGATTAATAGGAGAAATTGAGTGTTTTGAAACCATTTAAGATAGGAAGATAGGAAACAAAATTATTATGCTTAAACAGAATATCATTATACAGTAGTGGCTGTGAGAATAAAAGTATTGCAAAACACAAGACCAAAATCTTGCTAACATCTGGTTATTTTACAGTAGTTTTACATATTCCATTTTGAAAATAAACTGGTAAGGTTTTTTAAAAAAAAATTCCAAAGAAATTATGTTACATATCTTATCAACCGAATGCAATTGCTTTCTGAGAATCAATAAATAGATAAATTGCTGTGCTTTCAAATCGTGCTATGCATACTGTGACCTATGCATGCTATCTAATGAACTTTGTTGTGCTATTTAATACATCATCTGTATTTAGCAGAATTTTAAACCATAAATGTGTCAAAGCCTCGAAGACACAGGCACACACACACA